ACAGTAAACACAGTAAACAGACAGGGCAAAGCCACGAGAGATGAGCCTCTGTTGTTTAGTCTTCGACTTACATTCAGGATGATAATAAGGGGAAGGATCAGAAGGGAGGGTATCCCCAAGGTGGTCCCTCCCTTTCTTCCTCCCCACTGCCTTGCCCCGCTCCCTCTGTCTCCCCCGCAGAGGGGCACTTTGAAAGGTCCTGAATAACAGGAAGTCGAGGGGCAGGAAGTTAAGTTTTGTCTGCCCACGGCCTGTGGTAGGATACTGAGGCTAACTCTGCCTTGCACAGGAAGTGCAACTGTCACGGCTATGCTTAAGACTTTGGCTGCTGTCCATCACCTTCAAAGAAGTTGAAGCGCGCTTGCTGCGTATAGCTACATATGGTGGGTACGTCTTTAACACAAGCCACATAGGATGAATCTTCAAAATCTTCTTTGACAAATTCTTATTATATTATGACGTTTGAGATGTTGAGTGAAAAAAAAAGTTTGTAGTTTATAAGCTTCGTTACGGACTAACTGCATAGCGCTGGCCTCGTTTTTTGTTCATTAGGTACATCTCACAACAGAAATGTAATTTTATGTTACCTTTTAAATAGGGCAGCAGATGAGAGAGTAATGGTTCAACTTTGTGTGGAATGAGCGCAGGCTTACAAGGAGGGAGGGAGGAGGCTGGATCCAGTAATTACACTGGGAATTGAGCATGTTTTATTGATTGTGAAAGGGCTAGACCTGTCACCAAGCCTCCCAGTGTCTCAGTGGTCCGTCTTAAGGGAGGAGGAGGAGGACTAGCATTCTTGTCAGTTGACCAGTGTCGCACCTCATCACAGAGGATCGCTGCGGCTCTGTTAATAAACAACTGCAATGCTTAGTCACTTGTATAGGCATGGCATATTCTAAAACTGCATGTTTGTTTAACAGCAGGTATAGTAGGGGATGCCATATTGACTTTATGTCAAACTGTGGCCGTTGCTACAGTGACATGTTCTCTGCACATTGATTTATGTGTTACAAATGTTTGGTAAGCATCTTTCAGAAGTGCTGGATTGGTTTATATCAAAGTGGACCAGGTGTGTCACATCAAGGTCTTTGTAATGTAGTGTTGTTATACAATGTGCTGTTTTGTGTGCACCAACTAAAGCTTCTCCTAAATGCAAAATCATTTAGTATATGTGTGGCTTTTCATGAAAAAGCTCGAGGTAATGTTGGATTCACAGTAGATATGGTTTCTGTACGTGGAGGCAGCCATTCAGATATGTGGGTTTGTAGAAATGTTTCCTGCAGTGTCTTTATGAAACTGCAACATTACAATGCATCAACCTCATAATGACAGACAGCCAAGAAGAGCAAAAAATGTAATGCTGGAAAAACTAACACTAAAGCTAACATTAGTGAGCCGCATGAGTCATTTCTAGTTTTACAGAACTGGAAACCTTGCACTATCTTCCAATCAGATTATTGTGCAGCACATGCAGAAGGCAGAGAAGAATAAGTGGTAGTATTAAACATGCGATCTTCTAGTTGTAAATCAACAAAGCGGAATAAAAAAGTGTATTTAATATGGAACTTTGATGCTAATCCATTTACCTCGGTCACTATCAACACCGTTCATCCATTTCCATGCATCTTTGTGCAAACAAGGTGACTTCATCTTCTTCGTCTACTTTGCTACTATCCACAGAATGTTTTATAATTTACTGAGTGGAACCTTTTGCAGCTGGTAAAGGACCAATGTGTATTATTTAGTGGCCACTTGCAGTGAAGGTAAGAAAACAAAAACCCAGTTATCATTTTAAGGTAATTTTACACAAATTAAAACATTCAAATCGCTGCCAGTAGACTTCCACTAAATCACTCTACTGGAAAGAAAGAGGTTTTACTGTTGACAGTGAGTTTACAGGAGACAGCTGCGTGACTATACTGTACATTTTTTCTAAGGTGGGCTCATAGCCTCATATGGTATCCTGGTTCTGGTTCAGTGCTTTTCTCCTTTTATGTTTATTGTCTATGCCTCTGTTTCTTACGCACATGCATACTCACTTGTACAAAGAGCACATGATTTAGGCCATAAACAGATACTCTGTCCCATTCCAACACTCACGAGAAGTTAAGAGTGTCACGCAGAAACACGCACTTTGCTACAGTGCAGACATTGTTCTACTTTGTAATCTGAACATCTTCTGACATGTTTATCCGGTTGGTAAGACCAGCTGAATTATCCCACTCACTTCAGGACGTTGAAATTGCGTTATTTATTCTACACCAAAGTATATTGTGATAACCACAGTAACACATCAGTGATTGCTGTTGTTCAAGTCTTGAAAATAATGTTTTGTTAGCTAGCCACTTTAGATTTTGACTAACTTGTGATGAATATGGACACTAAGTTTGGAGCGTGGCACACCTGCAGTCTGAAGGCTCTCTCAGCTTGTCATTTCATATCTGTGGAAGATAAAATGTCACGACACAGCCTATTATGCCTCTAGACTTGAACTGTCCTCCGGTGACAGCTCCTCTGCAAAACGGGAGGAAAGAATGTGTACGCGCTGCTTATACTCGCATTACACTGAACCTATTCACATATGCACACACTGAAATAACAGGCCAGTGGTCAGTTCAGACTAGCCTTGGCAAGTGATTAGATAAAACATCTCAAAACTGACACCATATTCACTTGCACAGATAAAACTTAACAAACACAGAGGAGGAGCAAAATGATGTTCTCATAATATTTGCAGATAAAATGCACCAGGGTGGTGAGTTTTTCTTTCAAGTTTTGAACTTGTTTGTTTGGTGTTGAACTTGAAAATTGCATTTATTTTACTTTAAAAGAAGTAAAGTCACTGAATTTGGCAGTGTAGCTACTGTATTGCTACAGTTGTCTCCCATACTAATATATTAAACTTCAGGGTGGCCAGTGTATTTCTTTAGTGGAATAGACACCCTTTGCCCAGGGCTCCCTTTAATTCAAACATTAGTTTGTGTGTAAAATGCTGAATGAACAAGAGCACTGTCATTCTCCCTGGCCTGTTGTGATGTGGTTTGGGGAAATTCTTTGTGGGGGTTCAGACAGTTTCTTTCCTGGCTCAGACAGCCACGCGTGGGAAGTTAGCAAGGTGATCTCAGTCAAGTTTGCCTACAGTGGAGCCCCGATTCAGACAGCCAGACACCATAATGCCAGTCCATCTGTAACCCATAATGACTGTGTGCCACTGCAACTGGTCATTTTCGTTTTCACTGCCAAATCGGCCCCTGGCTTCCTCACCTCGCAACTGCTGACTGCATCTAAAGGCCCGAGTTGTTAACCTTTCTACATTTGTACTCATGGGGGAAATATAGTTGTTTGGACATTTTCTATTTGCTGGGTGTAAGTGATGGATGTGCCTCCAGGGAGGGGGCTATATCTCTTCTTCCAGAGAAGTAGAGACAGGACAGAGTTAGATGTTCCTTGGGGAACACTGTGGTCTGAACCACTGGCCAGGTTACAAGCTCATATGGGAATATATTCCAAATTCTTTTTATCCCTCTGGCTTATCCTATAACCCTGGAGATTTCAACCACCCTATTGTAAGACCAAACTATGCTCTCCCTCTTCATCATCTTAACAGCAAAGCTGGCATCAGTGTAACCAAGCTCAGACCGTAAAAAAAATATTACTGGCTGAGGAAGGTACAGGTTTTTTCAAATAAATCAATTTGTTTCAGGAAACACTCTGCTATCAAAGCCAGTTACCAAAAACGTTAGTTATGCTATGTATTGCGCATTATTTAATCCCAGTCTGTCACTGGTGTCCCTTGATAACTTTTATGTAGCCAATATAAACGTTATGGGATAAAAAAAAGAATGAACTACTGTACATTTCATTCTGTAAACCCAGAATTAGAGAAAGGGAGTGTCATGCATAGAGTTCAACTACTCTGTTAAAGCCGCCAAACCCAACCTGCTCCCTTTAGCATCGTGTATGCCTGCTTTTAACTGTGTGTGAGTAACAATCCAGATGGTCCCTCTCCTAAGAGGACACAGTGTCCATAATTTGCCTTCTCGGGACAGCATGATCTTCTTTTGAAAACTGGCTATGTGTACAGGTGGTGGGAGACTAAAAGTTTTTGTTTAATAAAAACCTTGCATTCTGTGTTAAATGTGTGAAATAGTGTTAAATGTAAGCATAAGACAAATGCTAACTTAAAGTAGGTGAGTATACTAAAAGTTTGGCATTTATAGAAATGCACTTCTTCACTTTCTTTAAAAGACTTTTGTGGAAGAATTTATACCTCTCCTCAAAGTCAAATGAACAACTAGTTTCTGGTTATCTTACCTTAGCTTAACTTATTACAAAGCCTGGAAATAGAGAAATGGTTAACCTGAATCTCTGTGAAGGGAACTAAATTTGCCTACAAGTTCAGAGCTCACTTAGTCACACCAGTTGAAACCAGTTGCCAGGCAACGACCAGAGACTCCAGGAAGGTAGTGCTCTCAGCCAAGAAATAACCAAGCAAATAACCCTTAATAAGATATTGAATTGTTTTTTTTCCCTTGACTCTTAACTTTTTATAGACTTAGCACAGATTACTTGCTAATTGGTGTACTTCAGAGGTTCTGGGGGGGTGTAGTTTGTCACCTTTGGACAAAAGTTTCCATTCGCTTTTCTAATTTAAAACACCACCTGCTTTGGTATTAATTTTAACTTTGTCAGAAAAATATAAAACCTAACAAAATTTCAAACTGTTCTTTCAAAATATGAGCTTCTAATTGAAAAAAAACCCCACAATAAATGTCAAGGAGACTTGAATAGTTCCTTCCCATTTAGGGTGAACCTGCCTTTCAGTGATTTCAGCTGTGGAACGATTGAAGCAGTCAAAGAGATAACAGCATGCTATGCAGGTCTCATAGTTTCTGTATGTGCTTGAGTACAAAATGCAGAACCCTCTGGTACTTTGGGAGATGTTGTTGGGTGTCATATTAACTTTCAGTTTTTCTCTTTCTCTTTTGGTCCTCTTTCAGATCCTGGTGTGGTCTGCTGAAGAACAAAGAGTGTCTTGAGAAGTGTGAGAGCCAATATAAGAAGAGAGACTTTTCCACAATGTGCTAGGAGAGAGGAGGAAGAACGAGTGTTGTTATTCTGATATTGTTGAGGTGTCAGAGAACCAGGAAAGGAGACAGCCATGGGGCGAAAGAAGATACAGATCACGAGGATCATGGACGAAAGGAACAGGCAGGTGAGTGGGACAGAGATAACAGTTCATCTATATATCTATGTTTGTCTGTGTCTAATCTAAGACTGTTTTAAAAGATGCTTCTGTATCTTTACATGCTTCTCTGTATCTATCTGACGGTTACAGTTTTTCTCTGTTTTCCTTCTTGGAAAAGTTCAGCAGCTGTCATGGTGTGCAAAGATCTGAACAGACATACCTCCCTCCCCAAAGTCCCAGCCAGCTGAACAGGGACCATGACATTTCTTTGTCAGTGCGGTCGCATTTACAGACATGATTCCCTTGCCACCCTGCAATTTCAACCAGAGAAGTTGATGAGGCAGCAGCAGCTCTGGGCCGCAGCGGGGGCCTCATGGCGTGGGAGTGAACTGAGTGTTGCAAGAAGTGCAGCGGGCTGCCTGTGGCCTTCCCACACTGTAGGGCTTGTCCCCTGGCCCGGCAGTATGGCTGGGGCCCTTTGCTGTAGCCCTGTGTGTTTGCAGCTGTTTGGTAGTAATTAGGAGCAGCCACTGCACCACAGCACCCTCTCATTTGTAGGGTGGGTCAGAAGGACACACAGCACCCTTCTTTGCCTTGGCCTCGCTGGTCCCGACTAGCCACAAAGCGGGAAAGAGCTGGAATTCACTCTGTCTGCTCATGTTAAATATAAACTCCTAAACAGCAAAACAGTAAAAAAACAGCCTGGGTCTGTTTGAAACATGAATAACAGGTGCAGATATCTATAGCAGAAATGGTATGTCTTATTTAGCTACGCTCCCTATGATTTAAGAGCTAAGTTAAGGAAGCATGTGCACTGTTTCTGACAAATTATACCAATTAATGCAGATACATAGGTTTCCTGTATCTAGATAGAACGCATCTGGTTAACATCGGCTAAACATGATTAATTATGTGGTAATATGCAGTTGGTACTCTGACTATGTTTCTATCTGTGAGGGTAGCAGTTCAGTCAAGTGCAAAACAAAATTCCACAGTGTGGGCCAATTATCAGCACTACACCTGGTTCTGGGTGGGTTCCAAATAGGGGGGTATTAGGGGAATTGGTCTAAGCTCGTTGGTGGTATCCAAGCTCTATTCAGTGACCTGTGACATGAAGGAAAAAAAGAACATAAAGTTATATGAAAATAGGTTGGTTTCTGATTGCTAAGCGAGCAGGTTAACTCTTCAGAAGATCCATTCTTTGCACTGCATAGAATGGTGAGGGGACACATTTTGCAGTGTTGTTTTATGGGAAAGTAAAGCTGAAGAGCTTATTATTAACATGCCTTCCAAAGTCTAGTGTTTGCATCAGATTTTAAATGTCTGACTGGATAATTTGTGAGAAAGTTTATCAGCAGCATGCAGGCATTTCAGCTTACATTTAGCATTTAGTTTGGTTTTAGCTGGCTCAGCAGAGAATCTGCTGTGACAATAGGCTGTGCTAAAATAAAGCTTTGGTATAAGGTGATGTATGCGTGTGGCTTTTTTTTTTTCTCTCTCGTTTTTTTTCCGTGGGCCATGAAGCGCACAGTGCCATCTCCCTTGGGCGTGCTCCTAACCAAGGGGGAATAGCCATTAGCATATGTTCCCCATTGTCAGGAGACAGTTTAAATCTTTGCTGTTAGTTTTCCATAGTGTAACAGTGAAATGAAAGAGGTCCTTAAGTGGACTAATTAGACAGTATTTCTATAGAGGATGTTGTGTAAGGACAACAGGGGCTCCCTTGCATTGTCTCTGCAAGTGTTTTAGGAGGGTTGTTAACCCTTCAGGATTTATAACACTGTGTGTGACACAGGCTGAGACGGTAAGTAGTTACAGCGTAGTGCAAGCTGTGAACTTCGCAGGTAGGTTTATATTCTAATGAAGTGTGTTGTGCATGCATGACAAATTGATGTGTAACTGTTTAATACATCATGTGTAGGGTATAGTATTTTTGTGCCGCTTTCTGCTGTTTGACTTGGCAGAGATGCACTGGAGAACGAGACATGGAGCAAACTGAGGTCGTATAATGCTTACTGTACAACTGCAAAGAGCCAGTTTCTGTTCCATGGCTTGGCTAAATGATGGCAGCAGTAGAGTCATCAGCTAGACCGACTTTACTGATTGCAAATGAATGCAAGATAACAACCTGCACGATTCTTCTGATTTGATGTATTCACAGCAATTATTACCTTTTGAGACACAGACAGGTACAGGCATCATGTGCAGATTGAAAGGTTCTTATATTTTCCTCTTTTACTTTGAGTTTCTAGAAGACTGGACGGACCAGTAAGAAAATTTTGCCTTCAACAATAGAAAGTTGTCATTCTTTCAGACTTCAGAGGTTTGGAACTTATGTTCTTTACAAAATAACAATAGTAGGGCCAAGAGCACTGAGCAAATTCAGTGAGTTTTACCTTCTTCCCAAAGCAGCTGTGATTTTTGTGAAACTATAGGGAGAACAGTAGTGAAGAAGCCAAGGTATGCATCAGTCTCGTAAGTTAGTGTACATGTTGGTGAGGCCTAGTGAGCAGTGTCTAGTGACGTCCTCTGGATGCCATTAAGCAGGCTCACTGGGGGTAATTGTCCAAGTCATTAAAAGTTTGATGATTTTGCTGCTGGGTGGAGGGTTGCCTGCCCTTGCTGTGGCTCATTTTGGATTTTGCTCCAGCACGTCAAATGCCTGTAGGCAAGCAGAGACTCTCTCTCACTTACTCTCCAGGGAGCAACACAGCACATAGCGCCTCTTTTTCAGCTTTCACTCAGTCCTGAAGTTCTGAGCAGTCATTGTTATATATTTTTTTTAATTGATATATATTTTTGACACTTAAAGAGTTTGTTGATAGACAATGGAAAGAACAGAAGAAAAGTGTTAAACTTAAGAGCCAGTGCATCTGCACTGTTTTCTTTGTTTAAGATGATACGTGGATTTATTAAAACTGTGATGCAGAAGCATGAAGTAGCACAAAGCGTTACAGACAGGTTGTACTTTGAGATGAATCTGTTATTTGTTGCATCATCTCTTTATTGTTTGGTGTGTGAAAGTCCAAAAGGAAAGTGGAAATAGTGCTTGTGTCCATTAATTAGCTGATCTCGTCTTGGTTTTAGACAGGGCAGCAGGTTTACTTAGAGTATATTGAACACAACACACTTTCTCAGTTACCGTTTTCAATAAACAGAACAAATTAATTATCCGTTAAATGCATCATTCTTGTTATTGATTAGAGATATTTCCAGGAAACCTACTTACATTTTGTTACCTTGCATGTCATCGTCTCCGCTAAACAGGATCCGTCACAGCTACTGTAGGTTTCAAGGTCAATCCCACCCACTGGATTAGCCCATTGTGCCTTCGAATGTCCACATGGGGTTCCTCGGGCTGTTCTCTCGCTCAGAGAGAGCTGATCCAGGCAGACAGTCACAGTGGCCCTGGCTCATCTCCTAAGCCCACACACTCTGCCACTGCGGAGCCAGGGCAGCAGCCACAGGGCCTGGGTCACTCTGCCAGCTGGTGCCAGACTTCACTGTCTCTGTAGCCCGCTCTCATGTCTGCCATGGGGGCTGTCAGAGGTGACATGAGGTTCTAATAAGGCCGCTAGCTCCTCACCCCTCTGAAGGTGTTAGTGACTCAGGCATCTCCTGCCATGCTCCAGTCACAGCTGCACTCTCAGTCCCAGATGTCTTGTTTGTCATCTTGGCACCTCTGCCTGCGGACAGACATTGATAGACCATTTGATTGACAAGTCAGTTCTGTGTGAATGTGTGTATTGGAGTTTGTTGTAGCATATGCTGTTATATGCTACACAAGTTTCCGTGGCAGAGCCTGTCTTGTGAATGTTGAAGACAATAAAACATAAACCAAATACAGCAGTAAAACGTGACAGACCCATGCTTGTAAGTTTACACTAAAGGTCTATACTGTACGTTGTGCAGTTAAACTTTCCATTGCATTTTACCAGCTAAGCAGGTCTATAATTATTTTTAACAAACAGGCCACTGTATTGCTGATGAGACCAAATTTACTTGTTGCCGTTCATATGCAGTTTTTTAAATTTACCCCTCGAGTATGATTTTGTCCGTTCCAAAGAAGGTTTCCCCATTACCTGAACTTGCTATCGCTTAGGGAAAGATAGAACTGCAGCAGCATTTAGTTTGGTCTGTTATAAAAATATAAAAAATAAAAAGTAAATTACCTACCTCAATTAAAGCTCTATAAACATAGGTTGTGGTGGTGGGGCTCTTGGGAAGAAGGTAGAAATGCAGAAAGTGTGAATTGAGAGTGGAATTACTACTTTATCTAGACTTTGAGAGAGCTTCTTAAAACATCAGAGAGTTTTCAGTGTGGCAGAGGCTCACTGATCTGCTGGGTATTGTGTGAGCTGTTAAAATGACCTTATCAAGCCTAGAAAGCTGGGATCACTTAAATGTGTTGGAAGTTTAAATGTGGCCTGTCTTTTTTTGCCACGGCATACGATTTTTGTGAACAACTGTAAGATGCATCGGGACAGTGTGGTGTAGAATTTTACAATACTGAGGCTAATCCTGTCGCTGTGAATTACATGAATTAGTCAGGGAGTTAGACTAAATTTGCACCACATCTTACTGCAGGAGCAATTCGAAAAAATGCTAAAACCGCATCGAGTGTGTTTGTGGGTGTATTTGACTCGGTGAAGCATAGGAAAGCTTTGCCATTGAACCTCCCACTTGACCTCAAGGATGTCTGTGGTTTTCCACTGTCGCACCAGTCACCCCAGAAATGATGGGGGTGGATTGAGGTTTGTGCATTTGTGAATGCTGGTCCATATGCCCCAAACCTTTTTTTTTTGTTTTTTGTTTTTTGTTCTTTGCGTTGTGACCCATCAAATTTAGATGGACGTCTTACATGTTCTAACAAAAGGATAAAAATAGGGCAATCAGTTACAAAATAACCTAAGTGTGTATGTACAGAAGAATAATATGCTTGTCACATTTTAATGGAAGTGTGAGCAGTAGCTAGCCCTTGTAGAGTTACTCTGTCTGTGGCTGGGGCAAGGACCAGGTCTCAGTACTGCTGCTGAGGTTGAAATGAAGCGATGCCTGGGTCAGCAGCTCTGCACTCAGCACAGCCATGCATCCAGGTGGAACAAAGTCTTCGCTCAGCATCTCATCCTGGGCTTCCTGCTGAAAGGTGACATCTCCATGGCTTAACAGCCACATTCATCTGCTAAAAAGCATACAATTTGTTAATCGTTTTCCCGCGTGACAGTCGCTGCTTTCCAGTTGGTTAGGCAAACAAATACGCAAGCGGGTAAATGAGCGAGTGGGCATCGCTGGTGTTTAATCAGAGGAGACTAGTATCAGGTGGTTACAACTCCAACTAGATAGAAAGAGGCTGGTCCCGGCTTGATCCCCCACTGTGTGTCCACCTTGAGAAAATGCTTTTTTTCGCTGTCAGCCAAACTCACTCAAACACTCTGTAACTGTGATTTGTAAGGAAACATGTTATTTGGTTCAGCTTCTCCTGTACTTAAACCTTGTGATTTTAAGAAATTTCATGTTAGAATTTTGTTTTGTCATATGAGCTTGAATAACATTTGTGCAGTGAAAAGAAAATGACAGCAGGACAGGCTCCGGTGTGTCTATAACAGGAATAATGATCCAGTGTAATTACCTGTAGCGTGGAAGATTTAAAATTCATTTATCACAGCTGTAGTGACCCCGCTGCCTTAGCGGTTACACATACACTATGCAACACATAAGATTATACTGCATTATACCAGTTAAAATGAGGGTATAGCCGCGAGCTGTGACCAATTAAAGTTGAACAAAGCAAGCTCATCTCCTCAACTCCTCTCTTAGTAGGTCAGTAAAACTGATGGAGGATATAGACCCCGTGCACTTCTTTGTAAGACGGAAAGCTCTGAGCGCAGCTTTTACTAGCACATTCTCAAGCCACAATTTGACAAGACATATGCTGTGAAAAGTCAGATTAAAAAAAAAGCAACGCATTTCCAAAACAGATTTCTGCACACAAGCGAGACAACGGCTGTATTTGTGTCCAGTTTCCTCACTAATAATGTTTTTAGTTTGAGAAATGAGTGTAGCTTACTGTAAAGAGGTAGTGTAACATAATGACACATGTGAATTGGTGTGAGTGACCACAGAGACAGAGCTGCAGAGCTACAGGACAGAAAGTCACTTTGCAGAGGGTTGCGTTACCATTGGAGTGATGTATGACCCAAAGTCCCATCTGAGGGCTCGTGTTACAAGGCTTATGCTGCACTACAGAGATAGCTTTCCGTATATGGAGACAGGGGCTACAGTAATGTATGGACCCCTGTTGTTGCCAAAGCTCTGACTCAGCTCGCTGACTCGTGGCTCTAACCCTGACCTCTGGCCTGATAACTAGACATTTCAGATATGCACTATGTTATTTCAGTTGTTACTAAAGCAGAAATGAATTTGTTATCTGTCACCTTGTTTACAGCAGTGTTGTTGCCTTTCTTATCTTGTGTTACCATGCTTGTTTCTAATGTTTTTTTTCTACTATACATCTCTGCTGCAGTTCACTCAAGTGTTGTATTTATGTTGAAATATCAGCTATTTAGCACATGGACAGTTTACATACAAACATTCCTTTATAAGATCCACCTGGATCGATTATACGCTGCTTACAGGACTTAATGGAGAAGTATCTAGCAGTTTTACAGACAACACTGAGAGTGGCTGTTATTATTATTGTTGATAGTACTTCTCTGCATTTACGTGAAGATTTTAAATGTATTTTTAAAAAATATGTAAATGCCCCTTTTACCACTAATAATCACACAGCAACTACTGACTACAGCTTTTCGTTGTAATGAGAATGCTAAAGTGCAAATTAAACCAAACTGTGTGTACAAATAAAAATGTTCTCCGTTGGCTGCTTTCTGTGTTTCCTCAGGTTACCTTCACAAAGAGGAAGTTTGGCTTGATGAAAAAGGCCTATGAGCTGAGCGTACTATGTGACTGTGAGATCGCCCTCATCATTTTCAACAGCTCTAACAAACTGTTCCAGTACGCCAGCACAGACATGGACAAAGTGTTGCTGAAATACACAGAGTACAACGAGCCCCACGAGAGCAGAACCAACTCTGACATTGTAGAGGTGAGCAAGCACCGCTTTCTTAATTTGCAATAAAAAACTTCTTTCACACCATGCCATTTTAACCTCACACTGAGCATGTAGTTTATCTTCCTTATGCTTTTTTATACAAAACATATCCTCGGGTTTATGCAGGCTAAATTATTTTATTGCTTGGCTTCCACTTTAAAAGACGTGTGTATTCTTTGATAACCATTGGCTTGGTTTGTAAGTGCTGTCAGGAACAAAAAGCAGTTTCCTTCTAGTCACCATTCAGATAGGGCACAGGAGGTCTGCACTCTCTGATAAGTTCAGCTTCTCGTAGGCCCATCAACTGACGTGGAAAACCTATCTCTGCACACTCATGCACACAGTAGCTGCCGACCACCATTGCTGACCTTGTTTCCCATAGATACTGTACCTGCAAGGCACAGCTCTCTGGCTACTCCTCAGTACACACAGTTAGCTTGCCCAATGCTGCAGTATTTTTTTTCAGAGAAATACAGTGTTTAGTACATTCCATACAGCTTTATAAAACTCAACAAGCACTTGGGTTTCCTGGCAGCTCCTGCATGCCCAGCAACTAGCGGAAGAGTAAGCCACTTGTTATGCCAGCATACAAAACTGTCAGCCAAAAGCGTAAAAGCCAAAGTAAATGAGAATAATTAGGGATACATCCTGTTCCAAACATCTTGCATTGGCACATGTGTGGTTTCTCAGCTTATTCAAGATCTGCTTTAAGAGGCCGGTATCTTCATTCTGACTAGATGAAAGCACACACAATGTATGTTAATGCCTATTGATGGAATCCACACTCTCAGTATGAAGTTGCCCATTAATCTTTATTGCTATTATTTGAAATAGACTTAGATGATAATTTTCTGCAGCAAGACACTTTTTAATAGACCATGCAAACTGCTACATCCCAATTCTCTGTTTTTACTGCCACCTGCCCACTAAAACATATAGCATTTTTATTACTCCTGCACTATTAAGAGACATTAAGAATTTAAAATGGGCCAGAATGGATAGAAAAAAAATCAAGAATGCCAGTTTAAAAAAGACTTTCACTTGGAGGAATTAGTGAAATTACATGCAGCATAAAGGAGTCAGCTGTGGCCCATTATCTTTTATTTATACTGCTGCTGCTTGTGAATTACCTGCTTGGCAGAGCTGCACAAGAGTGTTCTGGCATCCGTACACTCATGCAGTCACTCCTCCATCAGGGGCCCTCAGAGCAGAGCAAGGGCTCACCTGCATAAAAAATACATAAATACTTTCCTTACATAACAGTGACCACAGTTTTGCTTTTGCTATGACTCTGGAGGCTGTCTTATTACAACGAAGACTTCCCGCAAACACCTTGCACTGAGAGTCATGGGATTTTTTTTCACCACGTATCAGCCGGGTCAATCCACACCACGCTCTCTATCTGTGGTCTGCACATGTATGTTTATGTGAACAGCTTGGTGTAATTGGAATGTACATTTTTTGGTTCTCCTGCTGATTTTCCCACCTAGTACTGCTGGCTGACCCCATCAAGCTGCCCCTCTGTATAAAAGGCGAGAACAAGCCACCGTTGTCCCGGCTCACTCGGCCAGCGTCTTTGCAGTTTATAACAAATGCCCCTCTGCCTGCAAGCTGTGTGGTCAGGGTTCAGATGTGAAACAGAGCTGAAGTAACCAACCCAGTCCACTTAACAGCATCAACACACTGTCTCACTATTCATTCTTCAGAGAGCTGTGTCTGAGGAGCCTGATAGTGTGTGGAGGCTATGACCCAATCATAGACTGTATATATACATGTAGAAGATAGTTCTAGCCACTGTGACGTCACCCATGAACTCCCGTTTTGATGTGCCAGTTTTAGCATTATGACTGTCATTGTTTTAATCATCATCATTAGCCAGAAATGACCATATTTGATGGATTGCTAAGTTATTTGCTAATTCTAGCAAACATACTAGAACTTACTAGAACTTCACTTAGCTTTCAACCAGGGGCGGATCTAGAGAAACTTTCTTAGAGTGGCATGGAAATCAGATGGGGTGGCAAAATCAAAGCCATTTCTTTACACATATGCAAGTGTTACAATTTAAGCCACATGCCAACACAGTAGATCCGCCCCTGCATTTAACACAATTAGCCACAACTGAGCCATGTTATTTGTTATGCAGTGGAGAGGCGTGTTTCGCTAACTAGCTGCCTGGGTGGCTCTCACCTGTCAACAGCTCATAATACATACATTTAACAGTTTGTCATCCATCCATTTTCTTAACTGCTTGTTCATTTCTGGGTAGTGAGGGGGTGGGATCTATCTCAACTGTGATAGAGTGATGTAGAGGTTTCAGTCATAATGAAGGGGAAAATGAGCTTTTGAGGCCAAAACTGTGTTTATTTCCACTGTAAAAGTGGCCACTTCAGGAACTGCAGCTTTGTTTGCATTTCTGTGCTGGCTTTATTTTCCAGTCCAACAAGTTCCCGCTCAGATCTGATCATATTTTAAGAGAAAGCCTAATTTCGGCTGTTTTTTTTGACCGTCTTTGCTGGTGAGCACTTTCCCAGATTTTGTGCTTCACCACAGCTGTACAAATCCTTGTACACTACACAGAGGAGCTGATGCATTTATAATAATGGGAAGAATCCACCCCTTCCTCATTTATCTACTGAAATAGGCCTCACATGAGGGCACTTACACGGGACACTTATCTAAATTTTTAAATTGTGTTAAACAAGTCTTTGCTATAAAAACAGCCATGTGCTCATTTGTCCTGTTTTGGAGGAAAGAAAAATGCTCACCCACTTTTCATTGGTAAGACCTTTCCATGTGAGAAACCAAATCAAAGGTCACATTCTTGCTCAGTAGTACCATCTGTAGATAAAGGCTGGGCTGTGCAGTGTGGGAGAACAGTCTCCATGTTTTCCACAGATGGATGCATGCCTTGGCCACAGTTTGATAACCCAGTGGAGGGCTATGGACTTTGTCTCAAACTTGGCTCGCAGTCCAAAGCAGAGCAGTAGGCTCAGATTTTTCTACCCTGGTTGTGTGTGTGTGTTGGTAGTTCTTGTCTGCATGTGCTAACTTTACCGTCACTCCAGGCGAGGGTGAGCAGTGGTGTAAAATCTGTCTTTTTATGAATTCACCTGTGTGCATCAAACAAACCTTTCACCGCTTTTACTATTAAAGACAGGTGGGTGTTTTTATACAAGCTACTGTTTTAATTTGTTAAATAAATAATTTTGCCAGAATCACATGGCCTGAGGGACTACCAGCAATGTCTCTTACTGTAAATAAAGACGACTTATTTAGCATTTATAGCTCATGTTGTCTCAGCGTATTCTCATGCATTAGGGTTATTCAATGTAACAGTGGACTAAGTCGGGTATTCCTGAATGAAGTTTCCATGGTGTTGTTTCTATTGTGTTACTTATTGAATTCTGTTTATTCCACAAATGAAAATGCTGCTGTTAGTCATTAGATTAATCTAATAATATTTAGTCTTACTCTCGTCTCCGCTTGTGGAGCTAATGAGATTTGTGCTCTGCTATAACCTCACGCTGTGTTTCTGCACACAGAAAGATCCCTGTGTCTCTCCAGGAGAAACCTTGAAATAAGATATTAACTTCACAGGCATAATTTGGCATCAATCTGTCCCCTATTTAAGCAATTCGATGCAATTAAGGTATATGGTATAGGTTAGCATTAATCAGGTTTGCAGACACATGGAATAAACATTAATTGACACTTAATTCTAATCTTATGAAATCAAGCTTGTGAATAGACTATAATCAAATTTCAGGAATGCGCTCGGAGTGAAATACCGATACCTTTTAAATACCCGGAGAGTGCTATATGCAAAGAAGTGACTTTTTAGCGCTCCTTTTCATGTCTTTTACCCTGATGGTTTCTGAGAATAAACAGCGTGAGATCATTCATAGGGAAATTCTGCTTATCATACTCATAATAAAGAGAGATGGCCATTGTTATTGTGACTCGGGGAGAAAGGGACAATTCCTTCTGTATTTATGAACGAGCAGTCCCCCCGTCTCACAAGACCAGTACAGTGAGAGGAAATGAGCACAGAATTATCAGGTAATTTCCATTAGGCTTTATTTCATGATCACTATGAACTTTTGTCATAAACTGAGCTGTATTAATAAGGTATGTAAATGTTGACCATTACTGAATGTCACACATTGTGTGCTGTAGATTTCGCGACGACAAAAGCTACGCATGCATTTATCACAATTCAAGGTTTAATTTCTCCTCATTCTGCGTGTTACACTTTAAATGATGGAGACGATCATTGCATTAAGTGATGAGCTGTGCCTCGCAAGTGTTTTTTTTTTCTTTCTGTGATTTACAGTTCAAAGCAAAATAAATATTATTACCAGTTATAGAATGAATCCCTTGAAAAGCTTTGGGCTGAATGGGCACCGGGAGTTTCAGACAGGAGATATTTATGTTCGTCAATCAAAGGCTGAGCAGTGATTAAGGCTCATTTCTATCCTAATGAATGCAAATTGGCACATCTGCTATGGTGGTCTAGCTGTCCAGACTCTTCAATTAGCATGATTGATCAATTATCCTCCTGCTGGTGGCTCATTGGAAATGGAGGCTGGGGAATGGGCCGGGGGTGTATGGATGGGGGGGATTAAGGAAGAGAGATGGAAGAACATGAGAAAAAAAACAAGCAGAAAACTGTCTTAAGCCTCCATTCAGTGAATGCGATTTCTTATTTATTACTTTATGAGAGTGGAGAAATAGCGGAGAGTCCTTTTACTCAAAGAAGGCTTCTTTTTTACAGACATTTCTTAAAAATAAACGCTTCAAACTACACTTGAAAAAGCTGTGATTTTTATCTTTGAACGACTTCTTTTTGACAGAATAAATAATTTCCAAAGAGCTGATCAGAGATCAGAGAGATCAGATCAGGTGCTCAGATTAAAATTGAAAAAATATATTACTTTAGCAAATGTGTTAACAAAGTCAGGCTGTGGCTCCGGCTTTGTTTAATACTTTAT